GCAAAAAGTAAAAATAAAAAGAAACAGTCACACAAAAAATGCTAGACCCGATGACCCACAAAGAAACATGGAAAAATGTGTTTGACAAGACGAGACAGGAAGAAACAAAGGAATTCAAGTAAAAGCTAGTGAATGTGAAATTATTGTAATGTCAGTGTGGCAAAGGATTGATTACATGCTCTCTCAAGGAAAATTGATCATCGCTACACAAAGAAAATACTGAACTGGTTGTCACGAGACAAGAATTGTGAACAAAGGCTATTTAGTTGCAATAATGAAATCAATTAATTTTCAGTAACCGGCTGGATGAGGATAGCCAGTGTCAGATGTTTGTGGGCAAATCTTGGAGAGACCTTCATCCAATACTTGATATTGGATAATGATAGAAAAAGACAGAACAGAACCTGATAATAATGGCAGTTTAAACTGGATAAAAATGCTATCTGTAACTGACAATACGGATGCTACACTAAATCTATCTAAGCTGTCTTTTATGTGTAAATCGATGTGAAATACTGTATTTTCGTCCAAATGTAATTGTATTTTTCAAAGCCTGAAGAAAAAGACATGTACTATTGTATGTTATCTGTAAAATATGCCATTTTACATGATCAGTATTTAAAATGTAATTCATTTTTTTACATTTTGTTGAGTACATTGATAAATTATTATTTTTTTCTTCCATGCACCTAATCCAATACTAATGATGCAGTGCCCAACAGATCAAAGAGAGGAAACGGTGGGGAATGCCTTTTAAACAAAGATGCGTTGCTAAGAAACATTTACATCAAATGAAAATGACAGGATTTTTAACGCTTTCATTTTTTATATATAACAGACCCTTAAGGAAAATGTCTGTAATGTTAGCTTCGAGACTGGATATATGTTTTTGCAGGGGAAATCCCTTTGAAAATGTCTCTTCAAAGTAAAGTCAGGGGAATTCCCACATAAATTCTCCATAAGATAGATGGATACAAAAAACAAAAAGACCAAAGAAGGTACCAACGTAAAAAAAAATGTAAATATGACATGAATGTCTGACATTAAAAATACAACCAGATTAACAGAATTACAGAGTTAATCTGAGTAAACATAACTTTGAGGCTATGTTTAAGAGCAACGTCTGTCTGATTTTGTTGTCTAGCAACAAGGATATGGTGCTCAGCGAGTAAACCACAAAATAAATGTGCATGCTGCGATATGATTTGTTTACTATAAACAGTTGGTACTTTAGGGCTAGGCAGGTTGAACACCGGTGCAGATGGGGAATACCAAAATACAAAGTGAGAGTAAAAACTGTTATATTTACTGTAGATGTGTACTACCAGAGGCAAATACCACTTTCATTCCAACAAATCTGTTCTAGCATCTGTGCTAGAAAAGCAGATAAACAGCTTATCATATTTAAATGTTATACCACTTTAAAAAAGTCTTTTAGAAATGTTTATTTTTCTTGCTTTGTTATTTCCTGACTCTGAGACCAGCAGCACTGGCAGGGCATATCTGAAGATGTGTTGCAATTTTAAGAATATAGAGGTCCACCCTCACTGTCCCCAAAATAAAGTACAGCAGCCTTTGTTTTGTCAAAGCTCTGCATTCAAAATAATCTGCAGAATTTTGTAGTGATATCAATTTAGAGCAAAGACAAAGTTTATAGAGCCACCATACATTTCTGTGTTTTCCTCATTAAATGTGTATTAGAATATTTTTGCGATATATGGGAAAGACCCATATCAAAAGATGTTTTATCTATGTTAGTAGTAAAGTAAGGTAACCCTTGGAAGGGTTATTGCATAGTTTCCATGTGTATAACTGCAATCATTAAGTGGCTGGGATAATGCATATATACAGTAAAGTAATGTATGTATTGTGTATATAGGAAAATGTGAGTATATGTATTGTTGATTGGCTATGACTGTAGTTAGTTTTTGATGTGTATTTATTTTATGTTGAGTGTTATTTGTTTTTTTTTAATTATGTATGGTAATGCCAAAGACAAACATGTACTCTTCTGGATGGACAATAAAGTTATACATATTTTATATTTAAGCAGATGATGTTTAAAGCACTAGATAGAGTGGAAAAGAGAAAGAGGTGGGGAGAGGAGAACTAAGCCTACATTTACCCACAATGCTACAGTAAAAGTATGTAGTATGTTCTCTTTTCTTGCGTAAACGTTTGGTGGGAAAGGACAGCATACAGCATCAAACCACTTAAAATTAATTCTGCTTATATTGTATTTATTAAGCAGCTAATTCACCCCCTTGTACATTGCATGTCTCAGAATCACATGGCTCTTACGTGTATTTTAATTAATTGAATCAGTTTTCCTTTTCATTTTTGAAACTGCTATGGTACATTCCCCACAGATTAAAATCTCCCAGGTTATTTATAACTGGTTATTTTTTCTGAGTAATGTAGATTCAAACAGGATTTTTATCCTCTGTCTGGTCAAACTGATATGAACCAAAATACTTCACTATAAGGATTTTAGTAAACTATTGCAAAGCAATTGCATATGCACTAGTTTTCCTGAACTCAGTTTAATGTAAAACTATGAAGCAACATTTAGTTTTTCAGCACTTGTTTTTGTGCTACTGTATATTATTAATATAGTCATATCGATTTTAAAGTTAGTGTAAACATACAAATGTATGCAATCTACATAAATACTATAGTATATATGTATATACAGTACAGTGCCTTACAAAAGTATTCAGACCCTTCCTATAGTGTCCCATTTTGTGAAATTACAAAATGTTGCATACACATTTCTTAAAAACTGATGGTTTATTCTAAATGTGAACGCTCAACCTGAAGACTTCTAAAGGAAAGATAAATATCAGTGATAAAAAATAAATTAATTAAATTTAAAAAATAATCAAGATAAAATAATTTTGTGAAAGTTTCTGTAAAAAAAAAGAGAAAAAATGCTTATTGTGGAAATATTCAGACCTGTTAACTGAATGTTTTATGGAAGCACCCTTGGCAGCAATTACATGTCCACACACAGGTTTTTATGCACAGGTCTCTTGAGTAGGCCTGTTGCAAAGTTGCCCTTTCTCATTGGCAGATTTGCTCAAGATCTCTGAGGTTGCTTGGGAATTGCTTATGGAAATTAGTTTTCATGTCTTTTCACAGATTTGCAGGAGGCACCATTGGCAGCTATTACAGCCAGAAATGTTTTTGGTAAGACTCTACTATATCAACTCTGCTTAGTTAACTGGGTTAATGTTTGCCCATTGTTCTTGGCAGATGTGATCAAGATCTCTCAAGTTACTCAGGGTTTGCTTATTGTCAACTATTTTCAAGTCAACAAATTATAATTATGATTCAAAATAGTATTCTGACTGGGTCTCTCAAAGACATTCACTTTCCTATTCTGAAGACTTTGTTATCCAACTAAAAGGGGAATTTCTGTCCCAGTTTTAGGTCTAAAGCCCGTTTTCCATAGTTCTTTGCTATTACTTTGCTCCATCTATGTTCCCATCAGTCTTGACAAGCTTCCAAGTCCCTGCTGATAACGAAACATAAGTATAACATAATGCTACCACTACCAGTAGGGTAGTACTTGACAGTAGGGATGGTGTTGACTGACTGAGGCACTGTGATAGGCTTGTGCCAGATGTAATGTTTGCATGTAGACCAAAAAGCTCCATTGTTGTATTGCTGCTGCAAAGCCCTTTGCCACACATTTGCAGTATCACTTACTGTACTGTAGGTACTTAGCTCCAAATTCCAGACAGTGACAAGGATATTGTTGACCTGTAGACTTTTTTTTTACCATTGGCTTCACAGTGGCATCATTTATCACTTTTCTCCATGCCCAGCTGCCTGTTTGGAGAGATAGCCTGATCTACTCTAGGTAGTGCCTGGGTGGTTTCAAATTCTTAATGATTGACCTCACTGTGCTCAAAGAGAGATGAAGTCTTTGAAATCTTTTTATACTCTTCTCCTGATCTGTACCTTCATGAACTCTATCTTTGCATTGTTTTGAAAACTCCTCAGTCTTCATGGTTGAATCTGAAGGACCTTACAGAGATAGATGCATTTAATCAGAAATCTGGTGATTACATTACTATTGCACATAGAGACCATTCAACTAATTGTGTGAATCATGAAGTTAACTTTGTGCACCTACAATACATTAATTTAGACTTGGCTCAGGTTTTGAATAGCTATGCAATGAAGACTTTTTAATTTTTCTTTCATATTATCTACAGTATTTAATCATTTAGTTCTTTCCTCTTGTTTTATTTTGCTTTGAATGTGTGGAGAAGGCTTTGTATGTAAAAAATATTAATTGTTTAATTAATTGTTTAAGAGTCATGACTTTAAGCTTTAAAGCAGCACAATGTGAAAACTGCATAAGGGTCAGATTGCTTTTGCAAAGTATTTAATTTTATATACTGTATGCATTGTTTGCTGTAATGGCAGCTTAGTTATTCTTCAGTTGAGTTAATACAAGTTTACAACAAGTGATACAACTCAAACAACTTAACCACATTCTAATTAAAGTAACAAATGTGTAAGAAACATTAACTATGACTCCATATCTTTAAATTGTTTGCTGAGCACTGAAGTTTGCCTTGCCTATGCTCAGCAGAATACCTTCAGATTCAGCTTGCTTTGTATTTTCCTATGTGCTACCTTGCAAACCTTAACCTTGTTGTGAATAAATATTGAAGAATGCTAAACTTACTAGATTGAAAAGGTAAAGAAAACTTACTTAAAGGACTAATTTTGAAAGACAATATCACATAGAATACAGTCATTATTGTGGATAAGAAACAACCTTTTAAACACAAAGTTTAGTAAGTTTTTATAAGTTTTCAAACATGTAAATTTCCTTTTTCTTCAAAATAAATGAAGTTTGCAAACCCCATTAGCTTTGAAGGTAATGCACACACAGATGATCAATTTTAGGCAAAGGTTATTGATCTGAGTTGAAAACTTGCCCTTGATTAGCTTCCATTGAATATTGGAGTCTATTTCCTTACCTGCTCTTTCATCCAGGGGTCCAAAGTGACATATCTGACTGATATTGTGCACCCAGTTGTTCATCTCCTCCTCAGTCTTAGCCACCAGGTAAAATACTCGAAAGGAGGTTTTCACCACAAATACATGGTGGTTCTGAAACTCCCTCTTGACCACCCTCACTTCAGAGTGGATCTGCACCTCACATTCATTCAGATTTATCACTCGGATGGGCTTCTTGGAGGTCTTGGTCCTGTAGTATTCCAGAACATCTGGGTTGCCACTCATTCGGCCCCTGCGCAGCACAAACCATCTTTTTCTCCAAGCCTAATAAACATACAGAAACATAAAGGGAGTCAGGAGAGGACTTTTAAATCCTCAGGTCACTTTCTGTCTGATTTATTCTGATCAGCACCTTGAGATGGACAAATTATTCCATGATCTGTCTGTAGAAATACCAAAACTATCTCACCCCTTATTGGATTCTGAAGATGAAGATGCGTTCTAAGTTAGTAAGACAGCCGCTTGAGCAATGATTTCGAACTTGTTACTTTAAGAGTTGCTGTTAGTATCTCCTCTGATCCCTCATACGCTCTGCATGAAGAATATCAACTGATGCCTTCAAACAGATGTTTTACAGTCACTCAATGCAGACTTAGCAAAATGGGGAATTCCATTATCCCACATTCAATCAAACTACTTAATCAATAAAGGAGTATTGGTTATAAGCAAGTGGTTTTGTGCAAAATGAAGCGGTAATTTGTAATTGTGTGGGCTTAGAATGATTGTGTGGATTTCTGTAAGAAGGATGTGTAATTACTATGTACTGCATGGTTTGATGTCTTTTATGTACTGTTATATTTATTTTTAATGTGTATTTGTACTGTTTATACATTTGTGTAAGTCTCTGTGTGTGTGAAACACAGCTGCTTGGATGCAAAACAAACCTCTAAGAAATTGGACAATAATATATTATCATATCGTAGATAGTTAGCCTAAGCAGCATATTGCAGTAACTAATATTATTGTAATTTTAATTAGATCAGCTTCATAGAACACATACAGTTCATTAGGACTTCCATAAGGCACATTCTAAAAACAAACATCATATTGATATTTCCAAATATTGCAGGGTTTCATGCAGGGTGTAAAATGTGCTCAATATTTCTGTCTCTAATCACAAAATTCTTTTTGCAAATGAGAGTGAAGCAGAAATGCAACTGCCAATTCAGAAATGCAATGTTAATCCTGAAACAACTGCATACAGGCTTTCATAGCTGGCATACACTGCTGTGAATAATTTCTGTGCAATCATTCTTTGTATCTCAATATGATTTTCCAGAGATGTTTTCTTAGAGATGATAAATACCCCATATTTGTATTAATTTTAGGAGAGAATTGTATATTTTTCTCATATAGATACTGCATATATCAACATAACATATATTTATAAAAATGTAAGCACAACATACAGTAGCAGCTTTTTTTTTCTGGGACAATTGTTTTGTTTTGTAATAGTAAAAATGTATAACAGTGCTAAAAGATGTTGGTAACTTGTTTCAGAATAGTTGCAGAAACGAGTTTCTTCACTGAACCATACTTACAGTACTATTGAAATTATTTTTCTTGCATCTCCCCATACATCAATAAATAGCATTTTCTGTGATTTTCTATTTTTTGGTCATAACTTAAATGCCAGCCTAAGAAACGTGGGCAGTTACACCCAATTTCCAACTTAAAATGTTTGTTACTGAATATACTTGTAAAAAAATGAAAAAATATAAGTAATATTTTATCAACTCACTCTTTTCTGTTAGTGATTCATGATAATAATAAAAATAACAACCTAGTAGCATGTGGACTGTGGAGAAAGGGCTACATCAGTTTTTAACTTTTCAAACTTTTAAGCTTGAGTTAGTGAATCTTTTAATAATTATTGCCTTGAATTCCTCCTTCTAAGGGAAAGATGGCAGTGGTAGTGGTGGTAGAGGTTTATGTACAATCTAACAGTAACGATATCCTCATCACAAATGTTCAAAAACCTTGTTATGAAACAGTCAAGATGTCTCTGAGACTTTAACAAATTCTCTATATTGAATTACTCTGGATCCAGTTCTGCTATTGCTGGTTGATATGCCAACAAGATTTTGCTTGCGACAAGCACCGCCACCAGACTAGCTAAGTAAATTGCTTGTACCTCAAATTCAAACAGAACCACCTCTTTTTATTTTTGGTAGGCTTGTTGTGGGGAACTTCATCGCATTTCCCAGAAGCGTTGAAAGGGGGAAGTTAATTCTACACAACAGAAGCCATGTCTGAAACCAGCTAGGTTTTTATGTGAGCAATTTGTCTTCTGAAAAACAGTCAAGTAAAGTTACTATCCATGTTTTAATGTTGTTTTGCTTTGTTTTTTTTTGCTGTTTTTCACCCTCATTTTCTGCATAATGCAAAATATATGCATAAAGTAATATATAATTATTTAATAGTAATGATTTAATTTAGGGCTGCACAGTGGCACAGTCATGCTGTCATGCAGTGCTGGGGCTCTGGGTTCAATCTGAGTGTTTGTATGTTCTCCCCATGATCGCATTGGTTTCTGAATACTTGTGCAAGGACAATAATTTAAAAAAATTGGCAATGCAAGTGCCTCTCAAACAGCCTGAAAAGGGTAAGAATTAAAACATTATATAGATGATGTGAGAAAGCAATGCAAATACGGTACTATATTTGTATATATTCCATGTTCACAGTAATTGAAATTAGCAGTCTGAGAAATAAAATCTTCAGAAGATGGGAGCACATCAAGGAGGAGATGGCAGAGTTGTACTATAGAAGGAGACATGAATATTAGCAAGAAGAGATAAAATAACAAAACAATAAAATAATTATAATAAAATTATGAAATCATGAAAAGAGAAGAGAAGAGCCAAAGTGAAGGTGTAGAGAGAGAACGGTAAGGGACCTAGTACAGAAACGTGTTGGACACCAGTAGGGTTAGTGAAAGGAGCAGAGACTTAACACATGTTCTATCGGTTATGTAAGAGGAGAACCAGCTACGAACAGGGAAGCCTGTTGTGGGCAGAAAGGCGAGGAGTGGGCAAGGTGTGTGGACAGAGAGATGAGAGTGAGTGGTAAGAGCAGAGATGAGAGAGAAGGTAGAATTGCCTGCATTATGTTCGGGAAATAGGTGGAAAATGGGACACTACATAAGAAGCAAAGATAAAGAGAGATATAGTGGAAGTTGCAATGCATGATTTCAAAGGAAGCCAGTGGAAAAGGAAAAGATGGGAAAGAGAGGAAATGAAACAATGATCTGAATAGTCAAGAGGGATAACAGAGTATTGTGGTGATGGTGGTGGTGATGGGGGATGTGATGGAGGGATGGGGAAACAGTACCTATAGAGGTTAAGATTCAGATAACAGTCACTATTGTGCAGAAAGGGACAAGCTGAACAGATGCAGAAGAGGAAATAACTACGCTGAGGAATTACTGTTGTAAATGTGAATGTTCAAGCCACCTGGTATGAACACTATAGAGGGAGAGGGGACTGAAGGAGAGAGAAACTCTAATTCACCTAAAGAATATATAAGAGGACCAGGGTGGTGGTAGAGAATTATCCAATACATGGTTGCAGGGGAGCCACAGCCTGTCCCAGCAAGCAATGGGCGCAAGCCTGGTTCTTTCCTAGATGGAAAGCCAGTCCATCGCAGGGCACACACAGATACAAACATGCACACACTCACACCAGAGGCAATTTTCCCTGAAGTCAATTAACCTACCAGTATACTTTTGAGAGGAAACCAGAGCACCTGACAGAAATCCACATGGACATGGTGAGAACATACTGTACTATATAAACTCCTCCTGATAGCACCCCAAAAATTAAATCCAGGGCCCCAGGTCTGTGAGGTAGCTACTACTGAAAATTACTGTACCACTGTGCCACAACGATAAGAAGACAAGAAGTTTAATTTACTTTGAGAGTGTGGAACTGACAGTGTGGTAAAAGAGAGAGAAAGACAGGACAGGCGAGAGGGAAGCCAGGAGGGAGAATTCAGCAGTCCAGTGACATCACCCTGTCCACTGAGATGTAGTGTAGGCAGAGAAGAAGGCTCCTGGGTTGGCACACTTGTCTAGGAAGATTTCAGGTTTCAGTGAGAGCAAAGAAATCCAGAGCAAGATAGGAAGCAAAATTGGATATGAAGCCAGCTTTAACTGGCAGCTCCATAGCACACCTGAAATGATAAAAGGCAAAAATGTTGGAAATGAGGGAAGTGGTAAAGGAATCAGGTTGGAGAGATTGAACTAAAAAGAGAACATAAAAATGGGAGAAAAGGAATTGTGTATATAGAATGTAAAGAAATATTTATTTTTTGAAATTATTCCCTTATTTTTATCCTAGCCATCTGGTTCACTTTAAAAAGGAAATATTGCATAACCTTCAAAGTCTTGTCACTCTGCATCTTACGATTGTGCTTTAGCTTTTTGTATCGGTAAATATCTGTAAATTTTGGTTACATTTTCTCACTCTACTGACATTAATTTATTTCAGGTTAAGGTTTCAGTCAATGCAGCTTATCTGTTTACATTAAATTAAAAAATGTGACATTTATTACTGACTGGTCTTCCAACCTAGAAATTTTATCAGTTCACTGGAATGTTTGTTTTTTAAAATATAACAAGCTAACATACAAAAGCATTAACAGAACAGACATTTACAAAACATACAATTGTTAACTAGTGTCTGTGAACGTGCTAAAGGCAGCTGTTTTAATATTTAGTACCTAAAAATCAACTTTCTGAGTACACTTGATGACAGGAACATCAAAGACTTTTTAAAGCATAAAAATAAACAGGAAGTGAGGTAAACTATATTTTACATCAACCATATCACCATTACATCAACCAAATCACCATACCACTTTTTTACTTATTTTTGCAGACAGCAAATAGCAAGATGACTAACAGGCAATACTGTTCTATGTATCATCAATGGGTATTCATTTACTTTAGTTTTCATACACTATGGCTGTATTTTAAAGAAACATAGCCTTAACGCAATCCTCATGTTAATTTACATGAGGTGAGAGTTCACTGAACTCCATTTTTTTAGAATACATACTGTATTTAGCGTTTGTATTTTCCTGGTTGTTTTATTCTGATGTGTGCTGTGTTGGTTGCTAACTTACTTACAGGTGTTGTAAATACATGAATGCCAATAAACTATTTTAGCAAATGATTTATGAATCATTTGAATGTTAGGGATGGAGAACCAAATTAAAAATGCAGAAGATATTTTGATTATTTGTGTGTTGAGATCTTATCA